CAAATTGCTGTAACCAGACCAGGGTCACTAAGACATAAGATATATTAGCTAATACGCGTGCGTAGCTTTATCTCTTATGATTGAGATATGAAGTTTTGCAGTATGGTAGTAGCCTTAGATTTGGTTCGTAAAATGTCTTAAACAAAAAATGCTATTTTTTTGACATACGACCTATTGCAATAACAGCGACGATATATAACAATCAGGAAATTACCTTACAAAAACAAAGAAAAATACTTCGGTGTTACTCTAGACTGCCACTTACGATGGGATAAACATGTAAATAATCTAACCAATACCTTAAGAATGTTGCTCTTCAAATTTAAATTCCTTAAAAATATATTAAGCGTTACTCATCTTAAAATTATTTACTACGCACTTGTTCAATACTCAGTTATCTGTTGGGGGGCTACCACAAAAAATCATCTGAATAAACTGGAAATACTTCAAAAAAGAGTACTTAAAATCATATACAGCAAAAAAAATTAGGTATCCAACAAATTTACTATACGATGAAATCAAAATTATGGATATCAGGCAGTTATATATTTATGCAGTTTTATTGTACACTTACAAATATAAAGATATTTTACAAAAAAAGACCTTTAACTATCAAACAAGAGGTAAAAAACTCACCTTGTTAATAAGACAACTTCACAAAGATTTTTTAAGCTATTGCATAGCTCTTATCGCGGGCTTTGAGTGGCGACCGAATCAAGAAATTTCGTAACACCGTAACGAAAAACACCTAACACCCCCCACTCCGACCGGTGTATGCGTGTAGACTAGCTGCTAACTGCTCATAACTTTTAGACCCAATGCTAGGTGAGACAGCGTGCTTTTGGCCGCGTCCACGTGTGAGTTCGAGCCCACTGGAGTTGTACAGTATATTTTTTCTACGACTCACTAACAAAAATCGAAAGATCCGAAAAATCAAAAAATCGAAAAAACAAAAAAACGAAAAATCGAAAGATCCGAAAAATCAAAAAATCGAAAAAACGAAAAAAAGAAAAAACGAAAATATCGAAAGATCCGAAAAATCAAAAAATCGAAAAATGCATAAGTTGATAAAAAATGTTATGCAATAGCTTTACCGCGGCAGTTCCCGAGTGCCACACGTATTTTTATATTTAAGTGAAAAAATTATAATTTCCTTCCCGAAATGTACAAAATATATTTGCTTACTATAAACTCATTTCAACCGATCAAAACTTTAATGAGACAATATATTGTAAATGGAGACAGAAAAACTTTGAGAGCATTGATTGAATAATATGTGGGTACGTCAGCAAAATGTGAAAACTATTTTATGTGTTTTTTAACATTTTATGTATTTTTTAACATTTTATATATTTTTTAACATTTTATGTATTTTTCAACATTCTATTTATTTTTTAATATTCTATGTATTTTTTAACATTTTATGTATTCATTAACATTTTCTATATATTTTTTAACATTTTACTAACAAAAAAAGAATTTTTTTTTTATTAATTTAATTTATTTTTAGATATGTACAATCACATATTATAAAAGAACCTAATTAGTTCATATTAATTTTTTTAATTATTTAAATCATATTATATCTATTTTAAAATCTTTTTATTCAATACATTAACAATAATGCACTATACAGGGTGTCATTGAAATAGTGTAAAAAAATTCGGAAAGTGATAGTACTCCTAAAACCAGTAAAAAAAGTTCCTACAACTATGGGTCGTTAAATACATATCAAGGGATTTAGGGGCGTCAAAAGGGCAAACTTGGAAAGTGGTTTTTTTGAAACTGTAAGCTTAAAAAACACGATAAAACTTCGAAAAAAATCCCTGTTAACATTAAATTTACTGCTGAATCCAATGGTAATATCGAAAAATTACTTATTTAATCACAAAGGGTAGTTCTTGCAAGGGTAAGGGGTCGATTTATGATTAACTTTTTAGGGGTTGATTTTTTTACAACGTGGGTCTATTTTTTAAAAACAACTACCTTTTTTCCATAAAAAAATTACTCTTATTGCAAGTAAACCTGTAGTTGAAAAACGAAAAGTAAAATTACTTATTTTTTTATGGGTATCTCACAGATTAATAAACATAAATTTATGAAAATTGTGACGTGTTAAACTAATCAACCTCCCAAAAAAATCATAAACACTAAAGAAAAAAAAAATATTTTCAAGTAATGTCGAAGAAATTTTATTATGAAAAATTATTTTTTGTCTGTGGGTCAATTTTTTTCTCTCAACTTTACAATCGGAAGGTAAGTGGCAACCCAAACCCCAGAAGAAATTTGTGGGCACGCCACTGTCAATGAATACTTTTTGTAAATGGAATAATCAAATTAGGACAGAACAATAGCTATGTACATGGCCTTATCACAATTTTTTTATTTTAATTTAGCAAAAAGAAATTGTAAATAATTTTGCCTAAAATTATTCTGGATTTTAAGTATTTCTGTCAGTTTCTTATTGTTGAAGTGTATGTGAGCGTAATATTCCAGAAATTATGGATAAAATTAAATTCATTTTTTGGTAAACCATTTACCAATACTTTTGGAGGAAGTTCCAATAGCACAGAGGCAGATTATGTATTTTATACACGATGGTGCACCACCTCATTTTCCACTAGCCGTGAGAAATCATTTAAATCAAGTTTTCGAGAGGCGTTGGATAGGACGTGGTGGTCCACAAGCTTGGCCAGCCAGATCACCAGACCTTAATCCACTTGATTTCTACTTCTGGGGTCACTTAAAAGCTTTGGTTTACTCAGTGCCGATTAATACCGAAGAGCAACTACGACAACGGATAATTGACTGCTCCAATCAAATTCGTACAACACCAAGGATTTTCGATAGGGTACGCAGATCCTTGAGGAGAAGAGCAGGTGTCTGTATTGAAATGAATGGTGGCCACATTGAAAATTTACTTTAAATAAGAGAATCAGACTGATATAAAAAAATACGGTACTTTCCATAATAGTAATAAAATATTTTTCACTTTAATTTCTCACTCTTTTATTATTTAAAATAATTTCGGCGCTTCTCTTGTTAAACAGGGCGATTTAGTAATTCTAAATTGAAATAACCACGCCATAATTTTCATAAATTTATGTTGATTAACCTGTGAGCAACCCATCAAAAAATAAATACATACTTGTTTTTCAAATACGGGTTCAGTAAAATGTTTGCCTTCAATTTTCTCGAAAACCATTGCTTTAAGCGACTTGCAATAAGAGTACCTTTTTTATGGAAAAAAGGTAGTATTTTTTAAAAAATAGACCCATGTAAAAAAATCAACCCCTAAAAATTTAATCATAAATCAACCCCTTACCCTTGCAAGAACTACCCTTTCTGATTAAATAAGTAATTTTTCGATATTACCATTGGATTCAGCAGTAAATTTTATGTCAGCAGTGATTTTTTTCGAAGTTTTATCGTGTTTTTTAAGCTTACAATTTCAAAAAAACCACTTTCCAAGTTTGCCCTTTTGACTCCCCTAAATCCCTTAATATGCATTCAACGACCCATAGTTATAGGAACTTTTTTTACTAGTTTTAGGAGTACTATCACCTCCCGAATTTTTTTACACTATTTCACCTTGTTAATAAGACAACTTCACAAAGATTTTTTTTATATTTAAGTCGAAAAATATTTTATTTCCTTCCCGAAATGTACAAAATATATTTGCTTACTATAAACTCATTTCAACCTATCAAAACTTTAATGAGACAATATATTGTAAATGCAGACAGAAAAACTTTGAGAGCATTGATTGAATAATATGTGGGTACGTCAGCAAAATGTGATAAAATTATTTTATGTATTTTTTAACATTTTATCTATTCATTAACATTTTATATATATTTTTTAACATTTTACTAAAAAAAAAAAATTGTTATTTTTATATATGAAGAGTCATATATTATAAAAGAACCTAATTAGTTCATATTAATTTCTGTAATTATTTAAGTCATATTATATTCTATTATACCTATTTTTAAAATCTATTTATTCCATACATTAACAATAATGCACTATATATTTAAATCATGTATAGTAAAAGTAAATAATTCTGCAGCCTATGCGCAACCATTAGGTCATAAATAGGCTACCAGGTTATCTACATATATAACATTATCCCTTGTATAAATAATTATTGTACTAATAAAAGTGTATTTATAATGAATATGTATGTACACCATAATGCTGAATAAAGATTATTATTATTATTACTATGTTGGCCAAATAACAGCACTGGATGAAGAATCATTACCTACCATTATGTTTATAAAAAAATCAGACCAATTTTCTCATAAATCAGTTTTTCACTGACCTGAACAAGAGTACCATCACACAGTGGTTGCATCAGATATAGAGCTAGTTTTACCTGAACCTATTTTAAGATGAAGAGGAGAATTCATTTTAACAGTAACTTTTACTTCATATAACATAAAATAAAACAGTTGCATTGTACATGCCAAAATATCTGATAAATATACTTTTCGAACAAAAATATTTGAGTTTTATTCCCCATCATTGTCCCACAAAATTTTTTATAACTTCCTAATAAATCAGTTAAAACCAGAATTTTTCATTATATATTACACTTGTCCCAATTCCATGCACACATTATGCATATGGCAGATACAAGCCATGATTACACTTGCCTTATTAGTTGGGGCAAGTGTAATCATCGAACATGTTTTTTGTGAAAAAAAAAAAAAATTGAATGCAGGTAAAAAATAAATGAATATAGAATTTATTTAACAACGAAATAAGCTATGTTCTAAAGAAAAAATGAACCTGATATCTCTTTTGGTTATCTTGTTATGAAAGTTTAAAGTGTAACTATCATTTTTTTTGATTACACTTACTCCACTTCATCCTACCTTTATTTTTTGAAGAACTATCAACTGAATATAAATATATTGGTTTAATCAAATTATCTTAAATTTAGAATGGTTTAATTTCAAAATTTGCTGAAACAACTTTTAATAAATGCTTACCCTTCATGATGTTTAAAATGTTTCAAAGCTAAATTTTCAATATATTGGACCAAATCTTCGTGACCTGGATGTAATCCCATCTGTTTCAAAACCTCTATTAACACCAAACAAAAAATAAATTCAACGGCAAGGTCCCTTTTTTCCTTCTGAATATCAGCTTCAGATCTTTCTACAGTTTCAGTAGTATTTCCAGCTACTATATTTATTATACTAAAAAACAATACATATAAGTATACTAATCATTATTAATTGTAGATTTGGATATTTTTACCTTTTCTGTTTGATATCTGATTTCTTCTGCTCAGGATTGGAAACTTCTGACATTTGACGTTCATACCAAGAAAATAATGCTCTAAGGAGAGAAGGTAAGCAATGCTCTGCTACTGATCCAAAGGCACTAAGTAATTGATCAAATTGTGGGTCTTCTCCTCTTTGTAAAGATTTTGATAGAGGTTTTTCCTGAAAATTAAAAAAATTATATTTTGAAAAACTGAACATTTAGTAAAATATCTTACTTGTGGTTCAGTCATCACTAATTCAATCTTTTTCTCAGCAATAAGAGTGAAATCAGCAAATAAATTTCTCATAACAAATTCCCCCGGTCTCAAATCCATTTCTAAATGATGTCCTGCACTACTTCTCTCTTTTTGAGCACCCCATGGTAAAACAATGCCTCTGTTCACAACAGTGGTGAAACTTTGTTTTGAATCAGGTCCTAAAACAATTTCATAATATTAAAAATATTATTCCCACAAAGTGTTTGACATACCTGGAGAAATAGCTGAATGACTGGCTGAATTATCTCCATCGCTACCACCTGATAAGGCATGTATTGTAGATTCAGAAAGGGTGCTCTTATCAGTTAATCCAGATGCAGATGTATTATCACTATGGGTATCAGAGCACACACTCTGGGAACACTCATTTTCAGAATCATTTGACAACAAATCTTGAATAAGAAAATTATATTATACATGTTTTACAGAGGGAGTATCTTATCTTAACCAGGCTGCTATTTTTAATACTAATAAATGACACTACAAATACAAACACTAAGCTTAATTTACAGATTTTCTTTAGCCAACAGTAAAAATATAGTTACAATACAAGATACATGAATGGATAAGATTAAAGCATTTCAGTATGAAAATAAATATGAATAAAACATAGTTAAGTGACATGAATAAATGTTGCAAGATAGTGAGCATATAAAAACCTGGAATAATAGAAGACAAAGGGAACTTCAACTTGAAAGTAATAAAAGTCATCGGCAAAATTATACTTTTCTGTTTTTGTATGTATGAAGCAATATTACATGCTTCTTTATCTATATCACCACAAAAAGGAGCCTGTGAAATTCAAAAATTAAGTAAATAACAAAATATGAACTTCACTAAGGTGAGATTTAACCTAAGGCTATTTGTATGTAACCCTAATTAGCAATTAAAAAGGTATTAACCTATGCCAATTTTTTGCAATTATGACTAGTATAAAAGATACTACCCAAGTTAGTAGGTAATTGTGACTCTTGATCATCAAAAGTCAGGAAAATAAGGCAAATACAAATTGTTTTAAAAGATTACAATTCACAGAAATTAACAGTGCTGCAAATTTCCCAGAAAGGAAATGACTTCTGGACCAAAACAAGTAAAGACAAAGAGGAGTGAAAAGATTAATCATCATATCATCTTAATAATTGGTAGATGTTTATAGATAAGTGTCATGTTAATTGTAATTATTATAATTTTAAAAGATTATATCAATTCATTAAAATTAGACCATACGCAGCAAAATACACGAGACGTATAAAATAACATTGCTTTTGTACTTCAATTAATGTAAAGTAGTAAATAAATTATTTAACAATAAGGGCTCAGTATAATTCAATTTTAGGTTATCTCTTGAAATTTACCTGTTTCTTGCCCCTCCAATTGATGTTCAGACATGTTAAAGGTACCGTTTAACAATATAAGTTATTTTAAATCACTCTCAATTTGAATCAGCATTTTATTTTAACAAAAACTTTTCTAATTCGCAATAAAAACAATTATTTATTGTTCCTCCTACAACTGACGAATATCTGACACTGACAGCTATTTGTTGACAATTTTATTTTGACTTTTGACAAATTCAATGATGTATATATTTACATAGATTGCTCAATCATATGTAAATAAAATTACGGCGCCGGCGCTGCCTTTCGAAGTGCTTACTGAACAGAACCATAGAAAAATAAAAAGAGAAGGTTTGAATAAATGGCGGGACTTGTTTCCTTGTTGGTAGTTGAACCGTAAGCGCTTAGCGCGCTGCTATCACTTGCTGCGTTTGAGAATCCACATCGGATGCATCTGAGATGTAAAAAATCTTTGATCACGTGATTCAGTATACGTAAATGTAATGGGACAGATGTGTCCGATGTGAATAAAAAAACGCTCGAGATGTAAAAAATGCATCCGATGTGGATTCTCAAACGCAGCAACTAAATTCAAACCCGTTTTACACCCATAAAAAAATATATTTTCAAAAATAATGACAAAGAAATCAATAATTTTACTGATTTACCCCTTTAAATTTCACTTTAAAATAATGGTGTGATCAAATACAGAGATAATCATTAATAAATTTAAAGTTAAAGCTAAATTTAAATATTATAAGATGGTGTAAATCTGGCTTTGAAAATAAATTAGGTTATGTTGCTATAAATATGTCAGTCTTATATTATTTTCATTTTCAAATGTAGGTGAGTAAATTGTATTAATTAAGTGTAAGTTAGATTTAACTAATTTAACTATAGGGAGGTTCTTAAGAAAATCATTAACTTCTGATTCATTTAAATTTTAATTGCAGAAGTAAGTATTTTTCTCACAAAACTAACAAGAAATTTTTTGTTTTTCCTGCTATTATTACTCTAGAAATAAATGGATCCACATTTTAAACATTTGTGATAAAAAAAAAAATGAAAGGAGTTGTGAGCGAAATGTGTAAAGCCAATTTACAAACAAATATTGTAGAACCCGAGATAAAACCTCATCCTAGTTTTACTCATAAAGACCATGATGAAAAAAGGCGAATGATTTGTGCTCAAAAAGTTATTGTTCAATTTTTGGGTGATATCATTATTATATTTATCAAATAATACCCAAATATGTTCAAAAACTTATATGCTATTTAGGTCAACTTGTTAATTTTTGCATAGTTCACCTATTAAGATCATAAATCAGATGTTTTCTATTTTTTTTGAAATTTTTATACCTTTTATTGCAAGAAAATTGTAAGAATTTAAAAAAGTTATGATTCGTGTTAATTTTTATTTTTAAGATACATACTGCACCTTTATTTTTGTTTTGTTTTAGATATTCCTCGGTATGGAAATTTTTGGAATGTACATAAATGTGTTTCTTTATTAAGGTGAGTTTCAAAGCCCACCTGTAGTGAAGCTGGAGGCTTATTGTACCCGAAATAGGCATTACAACTATTCTAGATTGAAATAGATGTGAAAAGGCCTTAAAGGGACAATAAGTATAAGAATATTAGAATTAGAATGATTTGTCCTTGGATTAATAAGGGATATTTAAAACATTAAAACAATTGTGTTTATAAATTAACTACTTTGACTTTTTATAAAAACTATATCCGGTTTTTTTAATAATAAAAACATTGTCATGTGCTATGCTGGTTATCATATTATATTTTTATTTTTCACTAATTTAGTGTGTGATATAGTGCTTGTTATGTTCAAAATATGCAGTTAGAAGATAATGAGACACATGTAATTACATGGTAATTCTAAATAAATTAAACTTGTTAAAAATGTGTTTTATTTTTCAACTAATTTTATTTTTCAGTTAAAAAAAGTGACATTTTCCATTTTTCAACATTTACCTACAACAAAAAATCAACAAACTTATTGTTTGTTTAGTAGTTGTAAGTAAAAGTTGTCAAATAGGAAAATGTTACTTCAAATTGCTTCAAATATCTAAATTATCAAGCCCGCCAATTTTTAAATCGCTTTAATTAGTAGTGTTCTACTTTATCGACTGAAACTGACAGGTGTAGTTCAACCGTAAGCGCTTAGCGCGCTACTGTCGAGGTCAAGCAAACTTGTTACCAACTATTTACATGGAATCCGACCCCCGTGAACAGAACCGTTCTGGCCCAAATATGTTTTAAAATAACATTTCAGCATTTGATTATTTAGAGAAAAAATAATTGCTACCATTTTTACTTTAAGACACGATACTGGCGAGTTCGGTCAGTCAGGGGCTGGAGCGGGACAACTTTTAGGGTGCTTTTAAATGACATTTAAGCCTGTTAAACTGTCACTAATCGGACTAAACCTAACGCTAAAAGGGTCGTTTGGAGTTAAAAGTGTTAAAGGAGTTAAAGAAACTTGGCAGACCGAACGCAATGCTGGTACCTTATCGTTCTACCCTCTCTACTTCTTTGACAGAACACCATGTTTTATAAGTGACAAGACAAGACACTTGACATGACTTGACACTTGACATATGGTTGCATTGCTCGAAAAAATATATCTGCAACCAGTTGAGCTACGGAACTTATGGTTTGTAGCGTTGAACTTTTCTCTATGAACCTTGGAAAATTATATTTATAAATATTGCGATATCTCCAAATTTCGACAATCGTTAAGCGATTTTCAAATTTTCTACCTTTAGCACTATCTGCCAATAAAAATTTTAGACCAATACATCTACGCGATAAGTTCACGGTTGGAATAAATTCGGTAAAATTAATGCTCACAGAGTTCGATTGTTTTTAGTAGCGCATATTTTAGTATTACGTATATTTTTATGACGTCATCACTTTTTTAGAATTATTACGTCATGTTTTCGTTAAATTGCATCATTATTGTACTTGACCAATCAACAATTTATGGAAGTTGTTCCATTCTTTACGATTTTGTAGCACGTCCCGTAAATCGTTGAAATCTGTTCTATTAACATGCAATAATAAAAATAAATACTCAACTAGGTATATACTATTTATTTCACGGTATATAAAAAAACAATCACCTATTTACACAAGAGGTGGAATTTTATAACAATTACTTATAATTTCATTAACAAACATATATTAATTCAAATTATATAATAAAATACACATAAAAAATATAACAATAAATGATAAAAGTACACTTAGGTCACATACTTTGATTTTGTGCACTCACGAAAAAATATAACCAAAAACAGGTATATAACTAAGCCCTGTTTTCATTCCATCAAACAGTATTTTTACTGGTGGAAAAAGACAACTCAAAAGGTAGAAGACGTAATAGTAGAAAGCAAAAACAAACATTTTGTGAACCACGTACAGCCTGAAAATGAAAAATAAAATGTTACAAACTTATTTTTTAGTCATATTAAAGAGCGAACCACAAAAAATGTATCTAAGGACCATATTTAAACCTGAGTCTGACTGCTTTTCAATTGCTGAATCTCTCACTTTTAGTATGATTATTATTATTTATACGAGTACACAGAGCCAAACAAAAAATATTCAGGTAGTTTGCGACAGTATGGAAGGTGACGGTATGACAGGTGACAGATGATAGTAACATTTTTTTGACGTCACGAGTCACGACTATCACGGTCACATACTTTGATTACTATACGAGGCAAGAGAGAGGTCCGACACGCCCAACATACGGCACGGCCATTTTGAACCCTGTGACACAGTTTACAGCTAAAGAATCAGATCGCTCACTCTGCGTCGGCACTTTTGATCTCAATGTTTCAGTTTATACACTGTGCAACTCGGATAATACAATATATGACAACCCTGGAGTGGATGTTATTTTGGAACTTTCAACTGGTCCGAGTGAGCTAACTGATTATTAAGCAATAAACTGTGACTCCAAAAATAATATTCACTGACACTGACAGCAGCAAGCAAAATATCAGATGTGTTTTAATCATCCGCTTCTGCTTCCGGAATTGTCGGTTTAGTCGTTTTAACCTGTCACATTAAAACAAGAAAACCGACAATTCCGAAGCAGAAGCGGATGATTAAAACGCACCTATTAAAAATATTGCGCCAAGATGTAGGCAACACGTAATAAGGGTTCAAAATGGCGGAGTTTTCTATCTCCTTTTAAAATGCATTCAGAAAGCTGCGCAGTGCGACCATTCTCCGTATAGTAAAATAAAATCAAAGTATGTGATCACGGTTCATTCACGAACATGAACTGTCAGTAATCATTGTCACTTGTTGTGTCACTTGTTTCGCTATCGTTTCTTACTGTCATTTTTTGTAGTGGTTTCTCTGTATAATTTTGAGGTCAATTTCTTTTCAACTTACAATTTTTGTTTACTTCTACATCTAGGCAACGACGACAGGTCCTCCTTCAAACAATATTGTCTCGTGCCCAAAACAGCATGCAACATATATTCTTGTATAGGCGGAACTATTAGCATTGGAAATTTCTTTTGATCCTTTTCGTTTAATTTGTCCAAAATTCCGATGAAATTTTCACTTTTGAATATCCATTCGCGCACAGAGAAGAATTGTAATAGTTCCAAACCGTCGTAGATTTTTCTTTGTATCCGTAGCATGCTGCAAAAAGAAAAAAGTGACAATACATTTAAACGTTATCGAAACATCTTAATAGAAAAATCATCAATCATAAACTTTCCGTCCGTTGACAACTTGCACTATTTATATAAAGCCAGCTCTTTACCAGACCACTCTAGGCGACCTAGAATATTTACTCTAGCAGCTTGAAGAAGCAGTACGTTCGTCTCAATATGGTCAGCGCTAGACTTCCTGTCGCGGTACTGTAATAAACAATGCACAGGGTTGGCTTTGCGCGACAATATTTTAAAGTTATTGTTACAAAAAATATTTCTCTTTTTGATTTACTGGATATAAAATTATGTGGTATTATGTTGTCACATCACAATAAAAATTGTATTTTTAGGCGGCTTAAATTAAATATGTATAGATTCTTTTTTTAAATCGGACAGAAGCGGAACACAATCAGGACAAATGTTAAATCGGGACAAGTGTTTTAAAATCGGGACTGTCCCGCCTAAATCGTAATGAATGCTCACTTTAATTTAGGTAAGTTCACTGGAACTTCAGTCATGTTATTATAAATATATCAAAAGTTTATTGCATTGGGAGGACAAACAGATTACTTAATAAAATTAGTTAAAAAAAGTTATACTCACAAAGTCTTTTGTCTGAAAATAATCATTAAAAAGTCTATGAGAATTGCGGGAATCCAATGGTAGAACAGGCTGTAAATATTATGGACAAATTTGGACGCTCTTATATCTCCATCAGGATACCAAACTTGCATTTCAAATGGGTTGTCGTAGACAATGTTCCTTCCCTGGTCTATAATTTCTCTATACGTCATTGAGACGATTGAAGTTGTAGTTAAGTTATACACGGGAACATCTTCCTGACTACAAAATAAAAATTAATTATTTACTTCAACAACATAGTAGATCTAGTTTATAACGAGTCTCTAACAATACCCCGAAGGTTCTCGTTATCTGGTAAAACAAAATTGCCGTTATTTGTATCCTGTCAGTTCTGTCAAATAGACGAGTGAAATTGTTTTTAGAAATATCCCGACGAATTGAGAACTTCCTCCTTTTTTGAAGTCGGTTAATTACTCTCACGATACCCTTACACCGGTGAGTAGATAAGCAATAGGGCTTCAGGTCCACTACTTCCAAAAGCCACTGGTAGATGGCGCTACCTATCAGTGTTTGATACTAAAACTCGGATAAGTGGTTTACGACTCGGCTAAACATTCCAAGGATGGCGTTACGTGAACGAGTAGATTAACGTTAAAGAGAAAAATTATGTGCAGTAGCAAAGTCAAAAGGACATAAGTCAATGTCTTCTGCCGCGTTTGAGAATCCACATCGGATGCATCTGAGATGTTGTGAATTTTTTATCACGTGATAGAGAATTAGATCTGAATGTAGATGTAATAAACAAACGCTCTAGACTTTATTTGGTCACGTGATAAAATGTCAATGACAAGTTAGAAGTTTATACTTATTAAATTTGACTTTTGAGACTACAAATCAACCTAAATTTGAAATATAAACAAAAATTATACAAACTAATCACTTTTATATTCATGCTAGCATAAACAAAGGATAAATTGACAAACAAGGCTTCACAGAACACTTACTTTCTGACATGGAACGAACATCTCATTCACATCTCATTTCAAATCGAGATGTAAAAAATGTAATCTGAACAGGTACATCTGGGATAAACAAACGCAGATGTAGATGTAGTAGATGTGTCCGATGTGGATAAAAAAACGCTCGAGATGTAAAAAATGCATCCGATGTGGATTCTCAAACGCGGCATTCGTTGCTAGTGGTTCAATTTAAACGGCTTTGTGAAGAAGACATGACGTAGATTAACAATAAAGAGAAAAATCAAGCGAGGTGGCAATACCAAAAGGACCTAAGTCTAAATCTTACTAATATTACGTAAATTTAGCTGTCATTGCTCATTGTCGAGATGTCTAGCGAAGAGAATAGACGTAAAATTGAAGTGTTTTGAGAAACATTTAGAAACCCAAGTAGTTGTGTCATAGTTTTCTTATAACCTAACCTTCGTTTACGTGAACGCATGTCGCAACGACAGTTGCATCACGTACGTTTTTACTATTGCGCACGCGCAACAATCTTTGTAGTGGGAGTACTAAATAAGTTTAAAGACTCTTCCATTCTATCGAGACGTTTTATACGAGTAGCTTTTCTAAAAATAACTAAAAATGTCTTCATTGTAAAATCTGATTACTTGACTCTCTTGAATCTTAATGAAATTAACGCTTTGTCGCCCCAGGAAATGGCGCAAGATTATGAACAATTGCCTAAAGATTTAATTGCTTGTGCTCCAAATATTAAATGGTATTATATTTTTCGCCGTCATCTAATATCAGACGATGGTATTACAATACATAAACAACTTCACGCTTTAATACATTTTACTAATGGATTTACAATCTTAGCCTACAAGAAAAAATTAGTACACGACTCCATTCAAAAACAACTTTCAAGAAAATAATTTGCTTATACCAAGCTCTTGGTTTTTTTAGATCACATGTGTTGATGGACAAAAGCCGTTTAGAAGAGAGGGATATGGTCTTAGAGGTACACCTCATTCTCATTACAAATAAGATTGGTTAACATTCCCAAGGAAAACAGAGCTGCTTATTACGCACGAATATTTCAGAATTAGCATCTGAGGCGTGAAAGATTTACAAAAATGCACATCTGAACAAGAACTTCATGATAAATTCACATGGTGATGTGATAGAGGTGCCGAAGGAATAAGGCGGAGAGAAGAAGCTAACGAAAATCGAAAACAATTTTAAAAAACAGAACGGGGAACTGAAATAATTTTAAAAGTAATGAGTTAACTGTAAATACTTAATATTGTTGCTGCAAAAATGGAATGTGACGAAAGTCTAATTTATTTTTAGTTTATTTATTTAAAAACACACTATTTACAAGACGTACTATTTAATTTATATGATACTTAGACACTAACTAACAATTCTAATTTATTTCTTATACTTTAACTTTTCAATACAATGTTCTATATAAAACTGTCTATAATCAACTAACTCGGCGCTGATACGGGCTATTTATATTAGTCCAACTCCGCTACTGGAAAATGCTAGAGACTCGCGAAGATTCCATTCTATGACTAAACGACACTCCCCGCTGTTCCAGCTGTTTTTAGGGCATCAGCGGCAGGCATTTCATCATTTCTTGTATATTCGAGACGTGGTCCGGCTGTTTCTACACGTCAGCGTTGCTTCGATCACGAGTTGGTTGTGTGCGTACACAGGGTCGGATTAGGAATTCATGACAGGAATATTGAAACAAAATATATTTTATTTTCATTGTCCAATGTTGACTTTATCCCATTATAAATAACTTTCTTTCATTCCAATTATAAGCAGTATTTGTCCTATCTTCACTTAAATATCCACATTAGCACTCTAGTGTTCAGACTAAACTACAAGTTTTCCATTTAAAATGCATTAGTGTCTAAGATCCTATATGTTATAAATTATGTAAAAAGTGGGATTAAGAGGGTTATGATTCACAACCTGTGTTATTTTTAACAGGTCTGTTATTTTATACACAGAAATTACAACCTGTTCACAAGTAACATGTCTTGTGCAAGCACTTAAAACCTTTAGTTCTTGTAAGCCTTTTGAGTGCTTGCAAATGTCAAATTCAATTACCAATAGCCAAGTACTTTTTATAAAGGGCTTTATTTACCTATTTACCAAATGATGACGTCAATTTAGTCAAGTGGTATACGGGTATTTAGCAGAAAAATCGAGCAAGGGCGTAAGCAAAAATTTGTTGGGGGGAGGAGTCATGGAGCCATGAAGTGATAGAGTCATAGAGTCATAGAGTCATAGAGTCATAGAGTCATAGAGTCATAGAGTCATAGAGTCATAGAGTCATAGAGTCATAGAGTCATAGAGTCATAGAGTCATAGAGTCATAGAGTCATAGAGTCATAGAGTCATAGAGTCATAGAGTCATAGAGTCATAGAGTCATAGAGTCATAGAGTCATAGAGTCATAGAGTCATAGAGTCATAGAGTCATAGAGTCATAGAGTCATAGAGTCATAGAGTCATAGAGTCATAAAGTCATAGAGTCATAGAGTCATGGTGTCATGGAGGCCTCCACCAGTTACGTTTATGGATATTTTTAAATACGCATATGCAAGACGTTTGAAAATATATTTAAAAATTGTAAGTACGGACCTGTAAATAATACATTATAAACTGTCCAAAATAGAAACGTATGCAAGCAATAATTATATAAAGAATTTCTATTAAATAATTTTCCTTATTTAGCATTAAAAATCCATAATATATCACATTAAATATGCAAGTGAAACAATAAAAAATATTTATATGTAAAACAATTTCTATGCTCTTTTCAATTATGTAAATGGGTTTTAATAATTTTAATCCAGATCTGAATATATTTTCTAGCTAGTACGTTTGACGTTTGGTCAATGTAAGGAAATTTTACGTACCAAATATAAAAAAAATATACTGGGGGTTCGTTAATTATGATATTCGAAAAAAAAAAAAACAAAATCTGTTCAACACCCTGTATATAATATATTTATAACTACCTTGATGACATTTATCTACCATTAAAATATTTTTCTTTAACTTTGAAACATCCTTTATACATAAATTAAGTTATAAAGGACATTTTCACCAATTTTAAATATTTGAAATAAACTGTACAGTTACAGTTAAATGAATTATCTATTCAACTGGGAATATTAATCTCAATTATAGTTAGTCTTATAATCAGTTGATTACTTAATCTTACCCAGTCTGATTAGTTCCGACTAAATAAGCGATGCATATACTGGCATTTATTGCGTAATCGACTGGTATGAACTGTCCGGTATTTTCACCTTTGCAGTGCATGGATCTAATTACTCCTTTCCCAGCGCCCACCAAAAGACCTATCGGGCCGTTTAGGTTGTCCACCCAGCCCGGGACTGGTTCACTCACTGATGGAATTACTAAAAAATATAAAAATAACATTATTAGACGGTTAGATTGCAAAATGTCTAAGGTACGTATAGGTACAAAAAAATATACGAAATGTTTCATCCCTTTTCTGTTTTTAGAGTGCCACACAAAACACGAAGACTTCCTCTTAATCTTTAGATGTCTAATAATAATTATTGTTAATTAATATTCTACATTTTATGGCAACTCTTATACAAGCATTGAATTTCAGATTGCGTACTCGATTATTTTACGGCAGTAAGAATCCATTAGTCATTCTCGCAATGCAAAAACAGGTAATTATTAGATAATCGACCTGCTGATCAGTATGGACTTCCTACTACCTTAGAAAAGAATGTACCTATATTAAAAATTGTTTAATGATGTTGGTAGATGCGTACTTGAGGAAGGCATTGCTGCTTTTTTACTTAAATAATGTATGTCAGTCATATCATTATTGAATATTGAGAATATAATACATTAAAAAAATATTATATTGCAGAAATAGATGCAGATAAATATATTACTTCTTCTTATAAAGGTCAGAAAGTAATTTACATTACTTAATAGTAACCTAATCAACAAGTTCAAAGCGTGTGTTTGGGACATACTATTACGAAAATTATGTTCAATAGCTCATTCGATTCGGAATAATGTCTAAATCAATGTGTGAAGAAAAATTTTGCAGTGCATAAAAAATTGCAAAAGTTATAAACAATTAAACACCTCAAAAACATGGTGTTTGGTTTTTCGCCTATAGTTTGTAAACTATAAATATTTTTGGATTTTTCAAAAAAGATCCTTAAAGAGGAGGAAATTTGCTATAAATAAGTTCCGACTCCCGGAACTGTACCTCCATTATTTATAATTTTAATTTAACGCTCAAAGTAGCCTTCCGCGCGCCATTTTTAGGTGGCGCGCACAGCGTCGAAACCGAGTACGTTACATAAAATATATTTTTTAAGTTAATAAAATTAAATTCTAAAATTTAAAAAAATTACGGTGTATTCTAAACACTTAGAAGAATTCATTCCCGTTGGAATTTTTCATAAAAATTAATTTTCCAACAAAGTAGGTTATTGTTAATTAACAAAATTTTTAGAATTTCTCTCATCATTACAAATTGATAAAAATATTAAATAATTACCGTAATTTTTTTTTGCTTCGTGGAGCTCTTTTTATATACATATAAAACAAAATAGCTTCATAAAAGTTTAAAAAATGTTAATACTTTGTTTATAATAATTTTTTAAAGAAAAGTCACAGTGGTGCTATAAAAATTTTTTTTTTCAATTTATATTACTGTTTTAATGTCGAGAAAAGACATTTATTAATTAAAAAAAAAATTTTTTTTCCTCCATTTGTCCAGAACTTTTTTTGTTTTTTTTTATTTTTTTTGTTTTTTAATTTTTTTTTTGTTTAAAAAATATGAAAATTGAATAAATACGATTGTTGTTGATTATTTTTTTAAATACATTTTAATTATTATAATAACCTGGTTTTACATTTTTTGATGAAAATATTTTGTGGTCGTAGGAAAAATATTGTACATCACTTGTGTGAAAAGTGATTTTCCACACTCGTGTGATAGTCGCACTCGGCTTGTGCCTCGTGCGACAATATTTCCCACTCGTGTGAAAAATGTCACTTTCCACACTCGTAATGTAATATACTATTTCAGAACTACAACATATTTATTATGTGATAGAATCTCGGGGTCGGTAGTGGGATATACAATAATAAGTAAACCCTGCGCGGGCGGTAGTGGCACTCGAGCAAGTAGTTTTTGGTCGTGGTCGGTAATGGGACGGTCTGTAATAGCACTACACCTTCAAAAGGTCTTCTGATAGAAAAGGTAATTGCCGTTATTTATATCATTTCTTGAATCTAGGGCAATAATAATGACTATCTCCCTAGACCAAATATCACCAACTATTTCTCTAGAGAAATAGTCGATATTTGGAGAAAACGATTTATGTCTTAATAATAACAATAATAATTTTTATTTGTGTGGCTTTGTAGGTAGAACCAAGTTTTTTGACTACCTTGTATGAAATTTTGATTATATTAAAAATATTTAGATAAACACTTTCACACCACTAAACACTAAAAACATTAAAAATGTTACGAAAATTTTCTAATATGAAATTGTATTTATAAGTGCGCCACTGGAAATACTTCGCGATTGATTGTTTCTCGATATAATTGAGAGCTTAAATTTCTGCAACGATATGGCAGCACTCTGCAGACATTTTAGGAAAAGGTGGGGAAGCATTTTATTTAAAAATTACTTGATATTTATTAAAACAAAAGCAGCAAATTTTCATAGATTTAATATTGAATGGCGCGGAAACTTCTTTTTTTAATTATCCGTTTAAAAATTAACAAAATATATATTTATCGAAGGTTTAAAAAAATTCAAAGTTTCTCCACCCTAAGTTTGGTAATTATTAGTACTTTTTGAAATTTTTACAAAAATCGGACTAAAAATAAAGTCGTAAAATGCTTTTAAAATTTTTCAAGGTGTTCAGTTTGCTCTTAAACTAAATCGTTTTTTTTTAATTTGTTATTTTAACTTACCTATAGCCGGGCGAACTATGCATACAGGAAAATTATCTTTTTCCTCAGCTACCAAATTTTCAGCTAGTCTTTTGCTGTAAGTATACGTATTCGGATGTGGAGCTATTATCGAAGGAGTTGCGACTTCTAAAGCTTGCGGGTTCAGCCATTTTGTAATTTCCATTACCTCTCGGGGCGAGTCCTTGGATTCGTATACCTAAAAATACAAGCACAGTAATAATAATTTATATCAAACTATAAATACCAAACTTCGAAAACTTGTAAACGAGTGGTTCTTTGTGAAGCCTTAAACAAATTTGGGACAAGCTGATTTTCTCAGGATCTTCTCTATATACCATGGGCTTTATATAAAAAATCCCAGCGAATCTCATGAGGGAAACTGGCCCATTATGGGGCCAAAATACAAAAATATTGGATTTTCTTTAATTAATCTTAAATAAATTTAAAACAGCTTGAGATATTTAAAAAAATATAAAGACGAAAATTATCCGGAAGGCAAAATCCTACAAATCGGTTTTTTAACTATTAAAATCCGATTAATAGAAAAAAGTTATGATCATTTAACTTCTGTATAAAGATAGTAAAGAAACAGTATTTTTTAGGATAAAACCGTATGAAAGTACAAAAATAAAATCCTATGAATGACAAAAACTCATTTATTTTTAACTCCGGTAAAAGATAAAACTACAAAAATCCAAGTCCTGTCCTGAAATTAATTCGCATTCAGTGGCGGCTGTGCATAAGTACTGCGGAGCTGCAGAACACCCTTAATTTTGACTATTTTATAAATACTTTTGTTATAAGAAATGCTACCCTACTTCCATTCAGCTGCTTATTTGTACCTACAAAATCTTAATTTTAAGTTCTCAAAAATTTGGATGAAATAATGCCAATTCACGAACACACAAAATCTTTTCGGAAGGAGCATACACTATCAGACGTACCGACAAGCTCTGGTGCGGTACATAGTCGGACAAGAAAACCGTTGGTGGTCTTACACAGGGCAGAGGATTTACAAGTACTACTCTTGCAAAATGGTTACCTTCTATGCCACAGTGTTCAGAGATCAGTAATTGCATGAAGAAGTTTTCTGGTGTCACGCCAGCCTTTTCTGAACAACACAAGGAACTCAGAGATTCAAGAATTGATAGGGATACAAGTGACACGAAAAATTTTTAAATTGGTTCATTCACCATTTGACGTGGACTAAAAAACAATGACCAATATACGTCCATTAAACGTTTTTGATAGGATAAACATTCAAATAATGTGTCTTTCTGGATTATCTTCCATTGCTCTACTTGAGACCACCAACCACTACATCTTCACTTGTTTTTTCCAACTGCAACTCACCACACACTATTTTAGACCATTAATAATTATTTATTAATTTCACAACTCACCATTATTTTTTATTAAAAAAAAAAACGCTTGAAAAATATAATTTATAGAAAAAGAGTTTGGTGTATTATTTTTCCAAGTTTAAATATTTAATAATTAATAGAATTTTCAAGTTTTTTTTAGCGAAATTTACAAGAGTAATAAAAACTACGTTCACCTTATATTAAACTGATTAAAACTTCCTTTATTAAAATGATTATTTATATGATAAAAAATTTGATGTTATTGGAAGCTTTTATATTTTTTAATATACAGTGAAACAATAGTTTTTGTTTCTCCTGTAAATTTGTATAGAAAAACTATTTATTTCTGAATCCATGTTTGAATTTCCCGCCCTAGAGCATTTTTAATTTTCCCGCTATTTACTAGTGGCGCCATCATAGACTGGTTGTGGTTACAATCGCCCAAATAACTTTTACCGAACAAAAAAAATACATTGAGTTACACGTCTCGCTGGATTGTCTCTGTAAGCACCTTCTAGCTTGTGAGCCACTCTACAGTAGTTGACAACGTCGCTAAGAAGCGCTTCTCTTATATCGGCCAGTGTTAGCCAATGGGGTTCTTAATGATTTTAATAAAATATTGGCGTTCTTAAGAAGCTAAAAAAGTGTATATGCTTTCTTGTAAAAACGTATTATAATTATTATATTTTGCTACATCAATTTGCATTGGATGATTTGGAAGACAAATATTATCTATTTTGTTTAGAAACATATTTTTGAATAATATATGGTTGTTTATTTCAGAATGTAGTCTAAAGTAAAGAGAAGAACACACCATATACCTACCAGGGGCTCGATTCTCGAGTTCATTGGAAAATTTTCCCATGGGAAAAGATTCCACTACTTATATTCCCATGTTAATAGGTTATGCAATTTTCGAACTTGTCGGAATAGACATTCCCATGGAAATAGTAGTTTCACGTATATCTGATAATAAGTCCACGAATATTTCGAAACAACCAATAACATTAAAGATATTTTAAAATTTACTGTTGGCATTATCGGTATTTGTTGTGGTTTATGGGTAACCTCAACATGTTACCTCCCGAGCCCCTGCTCCGGAGCAGGTGCCGTGCCGAGCAATCGCTAGCATGACCGAGGAACAAGAGAAAATATTCTATTGTATAATTAAAAGTTATTGAATTATTAGCTTTTCTTTTTACATGTTTAAAAAAGAAAAAGTAGCTTTTGTACGGAAGAGCAACGAAAGTTTCGAGAAAACTAAGAAATTCCTTCGTTAACGGAAATAATAAAATTTTCGAAATGGTTGCTTTATTATTCAATTTGTATTATTTACCAGTCCCTCAGCAGCTCCCACAATTGCTAATTGATTTAAGAAAATCAATTCGTACAGTTTCTTAGTGAAAGAAAAGTAAAAATAATATACCTACATAAATAAAATAATATCAATCAACTTAAATAATAAGTACAAACAAGTAAAAATCTATAAATACGCCAAAAAAATGTTTTAACTACAATTTTACCAAAAATCCAAGATATCCGAAAATCTTTGGTTATGTGTTAGTCCTTCGTCAAATTTTCGACTTTAATGCGCAAACTCTAGTACAATTCCCATTGGAAAACACAATTTCCAATGCTCGTAAGCAGGGGAATATTTTCCCATACTTCTCATTGGAAAATATTCCACCGCTTGTGTTGAGAAAACGAATATTGAATTCCCATGAGAATAAAACTCGAGAATTGAGTCCCTGGGGGTCGATTCTCGACTTGTAGGAACCTTTTCCTATAGGAATTTGTGACACTTTCCCATATGTAGGAAAATGTCATAAATTTTCTATGTATAGAAAAATGTCAAAAAATCCTATAGGAAAAAATTCCTACGAGTCGAGAATCGACCCCCTGGGAGTCGATTCTCGACTTTTATTTTCCCATTTTATTTTCCCATGGGAATTCAGTTTTCGTATTCTCGGCATAAGCGGTGGAATATTTTCCAATGAGAAGTATGGGAAAATATTCCCCTACTTGCGAGCATTGGAAATTGTGTTTTCCAATGGGAATTGTACTAGAGTTTGCGCATTAAAGTCGAAAATTTGACGAAAGACCACGCGAAAGACTAAGACATAACCAACGATTATTGGATATCTTGGATTTTTAGTGAAATTGTAGTTAAAACATGTTTTTTGTGTATTTATAAATTGATATTAATTTATTTATGTGGGTATATTATTTTTACCTCTCTTTCACTAAGAAATTGATTTTCTTAAATTAATTAGAAATTGTGGGAGCTGCTAAGGGACTGGCAAATAGGTAACACAAATTGAGAAATTTGTAGTAAATTTAATAAGACCTTTTCGAAAATTTTATTATTTCCGTTAACGAAAGAATTTCTTATATATATAGTTTCTCGAAACTTTCGTTGCTCTTCTATACAAAAGCTACTTTTTCTTTTTTCAATATGTGAAAAGAAAAACTAAAAATAACTCGATAAGTTTTAATTATACATAATCGAATATTTTCACTTGTCCTCGGTCAAGCTAGCGATTGCTCGGCACGGCATCTGCTCCAGCGCAGAGGCTCGGCAGGTAATCGGTTACCCAAAAACCACAACAAATACAAATAATACCAACAGTAAATTTTAAAATATCTTTAATGTTATTGGTTATTTCGAAATATTCGTGAACTTAATATCAGACATACGTGAAACTATTATTTCCATGGGAATGTCTATTCCGACAAGTTCGAGAATTGCATAACCTATTACCATGGGAATATAAGTAGTGGAATCTTTTCCCATGGGAAAATTTTCCAATGAACTCGAGAATCGAGTCCCTGGAGTAAGTAAAAATGTAGGTATATCAGCGAGACAAAGGGTTCATATGACATCAGAATTAAAGAACACAAACATTGTATAAAAATTGGGATTTTAAGATTTATCCCGCACACTTGTCACTGGGTATTGTTTTAAATAATTAAAAAAATAATCTTTTTCACGTTGAATTAAATATTTAAAATAGCTTCTCTACTAACACGGGTTTACGAGAAAGTAGATATAATTTTCGTAATAACTAGTTTTACTTACAGTTAAAATTTATAACGATTTCAAGAGAAATAATAATTACCTCTATTACCCAAGCAAACTTGGAAAATATTTAATTTTTCCTTTTTGCAAAATTGAGACTATAATTTGGTTGATTGCCAATAAAATTCTATAGCAGAAAATCGGAAGATGACTACTAGTTATTTATCGCTTTCTCATTTTTGCTTTATTTTAAAGATACCATCGATCAACGGATTCTAATTATATCTTTCATCGTTACGAGCAATAAAAAATATTAGGTTTTATTACAGTTGTACACAGACAATGAATGATAATTGCGTCAGTCTAAAAGTATAATTTAGAAATCTTAATCATTTTTCGAAGCAAATACTTAACAAACCCAATATTTCTGTCCTAATTAAAACGTTTCTATTAGTAATTGAAAAATATAAATATTTAAAAAAATGTGGAATGTACTGGAAAATCATAGGTAAGGTCCGAATACAAATTATAAAAGAACACAGCTACGTCATCATTTGGCAACGTAATTAATTGGGTATCGGCATCTAAGGTTTAGTGGAGTATTAATATTATAGAAATATAGGAAATATTGTTTTACACCTAACGGTGTCAGGACAGGTGCGCCTTCGTACATTTAAGCCCTCGATACATTTGAGACACTCTTGATATTTCGAATAATGATAAAATTTAAGTGAGACAGTTGTGACCCTAGCCCTATTAATCCTAAACAGAAGTCGATCATTGAACGTAGATTTTTTGGTTAACTGATATGTA